AATATAACTTCATATGACTACACATTACTGCATATTACTACATATTACTGCATATTACTACATATTAATATAATTTCATATGACTACACATTACTACATATTACTACATATTACTGCATATTACTGCATATTACTACATATTACTATATATAACTGTATATGACTGCATATTACTATATATTACTATATATAACTGCATATTACTACATATTACTGCATATTATTATATATAACTTCATATTACTACATATTACTGCATATTACTACATATAACTTCATATGACTGCATATTACTGCAAATGTGTTTGAACTTATCCACTGAGCTGAGCTCGTGTTGTCTGTTTTCAGGACGTGGGTCTGGACACCATCCCAGCCTGCTGGTGGTGGGGAACAGTGAGCATGACCACGGTGGGCTACGGCGACGTGGTGCCCGTCACCGTGGCTGGGAAGCTGGCAGCCAGCGGCTGCATCCTGGGTGGCACTTTGGTGGTGGCTCTGCCCATCACCATCATCTTCAACAAGTTCTCCCATTTCTACCGCCGGCAGAAAGCTCTGGAGGCATCCGTGAGGAACAACAACCAGAAGAGGATGAGGATGAGCTGCGAGAATGAACCGGAGGAGGATGAAGAATCAGACGGGGACAGTCGCTGCCTGGATGACGACGGCGTCAATGATATCGAGGAGGATGATATGGATTACAAGGATGAAGGAGGAGTGATAAACTACAGTTATGTGGAGCATCCGTCCTGCTCATCAGCGATGAGAAAAAAGGAGCTGCATCAGTTGTGAACCTCAGCTCCTCTGCAGATGTGACGTCTGAAGCACCAACTGACCGGAGTTTAATCAGATGCTTCATAAACATTCAAGCTATGATGATGATGACGATGATGATGATGTCTGACTAATTAGTGAGGAACATTAAAAAAATCTGGGGCTTCCTTACAAGACAGTTTGTGTATCTGGGCTTCTTCATGATGAAAGTTTGTTTCTCCGCCTGTTGAGTGTGGGAAAAACCAAAGACGAGCAGACCGGATTAAATTTGATGCAAAAGGCCACAGATAAAATAAAACGATGTGAAGTAGCATGCACACCTGTAAAACCAATAAAAAATACCATAAACCGCTGTGATTACTACTTGTGTGGACAAAGAAATCTGATTTAAACGTCTGTCGTTAGAATCCGATGCTCAACAAATGGTTGAGAATAAGAACAAAACTGGTAAAACCCAAACTGGTCGACCTCGGGAGAAGAAACGCTGGAACGTAAGGTTCATAGATGGACAGTTTGAGTTTCGTTTGTTTTGGAGAAACGCTGAAACCCAAAAGAAACGATTAGATCCAAGAGACGAAATCACAACGATGAAGATGAGGGTCAGTGAGGCATGAAAAAGAAATAATTCATGAAGACAAACGGACACGATCCCAGTGATTACTGGTTGAGAGATAAGGACACGGTACTGGTCACCAGTCCAACCTGGAGCTTAAACATGAATTTTCTTTTATTAGCTACATTCTGCTACTTTAGCCACCATGCTTAACTAAAGTTTTGCTTCTTCTAACTTTAGTCTCAGTTTTAGCTTGTTCAGATTTCAGAAAAGTAATTCAGATTAGCTGGATTATTGAGCATGCATCAGGAAATTCAGATTAGCGTTCACACTGCAGTTTTCAAAAACACATTTTCTCTGGTTCCATGAGGTCTTAGTGAAGACTCCACTCCTCTCTCTCTGTCCGACCACAGAAACTTCTCCCTGTAAAGCCCGGGAGGAAGTTGCTTCATGTCAATGAAGTTTTTATGACTTGCTCCTCTTCATTTATTTAGCTTCAGTAGGTGAGGAGCAGACGGCCTCAGAGGGGGTTCAGTCGGTGAAGCAGCAGCAGAAAGAAACGCTCTTGTTCGTCTGTCGCCAGGTCTCAGATTGGACTGTCGTGTTCGTCTGAAAGCAGATTTGTTCATCCAGATGTGAACAGACGAAGCCTCAAAAGCTTTCCCAGTTATCGCCGCAGCTCACGATGTTTCGATTCGTCGCACAGAAACCTGCAGCAGCGCTGAACATCCTCCGTCCCGTTTTATAAATAAAACTGGATGAAAACCTACAACTGAATCACGTTTGAAGTTGATCCGATTTAAAATGGCTGCCAGAGCAAATATTAGAAAACACAAACGCATCTATTAAACCATTGTGCAGACACTGAGCTAATATTTGGCGTGGCAGTAACAGAGTCGTTCACAACACATTCTGAGCACCAACATTTCTTACAGATGTGCAAAATAATATTTTCATGGTTTGACCAGAAAACGGCTTCGACCCCTCGAGGGCCACCGTCCGGTATGTAGAGGCTTCTCTGCTCCAACACACTCGGTTTGAATGAATGGATGATGAACAGGCGTGTGCAGAACATGAAGAGGTGATTCAGGTTTGTTGTTTCCATTCAACCTTTATTTCTACAGGTTAGTCTCATCGAGCCTCGAGGACTCATTTACAAGAGAGACCCGTTTTAAGCAAATAACAGATGAGGTACAGACAGTCACATAAAATGAAAAGTAAATAAAAGAAATAACTGATGATTCAGGTGTTGGAGCAGGAAAACGAGAATAAGAATCAGGATGGTGGCATTTGAGGACCTGGATGAGACATTCCTGCTTTAGAGGATGCTAATCTGGCATAACTGTTTGTGAAGGGAATTTTATTTTTATTTTTCGGCTGCTCCTTCTTCAGGGGTCGCCACAGCGAACCAAGTTGCACGAAGACTTGGTAATTGTTTTTACGCCGGATGCCCTTCCTGACACAACCACAGACCACCGCGCTACCACAGCCCTCTGTGTGGAGCAGAGAGCTGCCAAGGTGCCCAGGAGAGCAGATGGTGGGGGTTAAGGGCCTTGCTCAAGGGCCAAGAGTGGGGCAATTGAGGGTGGAGGCAGATGTGGGTGCTTCACCTTTCCCACCCACATTTGATGTTGTCAAAGTTGAACCGGCGATCTTCCGATAACAGAACCTCTGCACCACCACTCCCTCTAAATGGAGTGAATAAAAATATACAGTATAGACAAAGAAGGCCAAACACTCCGACATGATGCAGGTGTAGAATGATTGTAAATCATAGATAAAACGATTAAATCATTTCATCTGACTTTGGCTGAAATGAACAGAAAGCAGAAACACAAGCTCAAAAAAATGCACATTATTTTTTTTTTTTTTTACATTAACTGAAATATATCAAAGGACCAAAATTACATTTACTGTCATTTCTCCTACCAGTGTAAAAATTGTCGTTCAGTAGATGACATCATCTTATCAGCAGCAAACTGTTTTTTCCCGCTCAGAGTGAGCTGCATGTGGGATCCAGTTTGATTTGGTGGCTCCTCAGCTTGAAGAAGTCCTTCGGATGAAGGATGAAACGTCTCAGCAGCAAAAGAAACCATCCAGATGACCCGACTGAACATTGTTGGATTTATACCTGGATTAATGAGCATGGACTTTGGTGTCATTCAGTAGATCTCTTAGCTCACAGTGTTGATGGAAAGTCAAAGATCCTCTGAACCGATCTGAGAGAAATGATCAGATTTACAGAATATGTCTAATTCCATAAAAAACAACGTTTAGAAACAGACTATATTTGTTAAAAGTGGTTTTCTTGGACACAAATATGGAATAAAAATAAAGTGGACTCTGCTCAACAGCTCGTCTTGTTTAAAGCTCTCAGATGGGAGAGAAACCTGCAGGAAGATGCGTCCTGCTAGAGCGTCCATTAAATGAAACATAAGCCGGGTGTGAAATCATCTTAATTTCATTCCTCCACTTCAGACTCTCAAACGTTTTCTTGCTCCTTCTCTTTCAAAACATGCTCGTCTTTCAGAGCTTTACGTTTGACAGCCGTGCGCTTAAAAACTTTCAAACTACAATTACCAAAGTTTCACACACGATGGTCTGAACTCCAGTAAGTCTGAACTGAAGGCACAACGAGCTCATAGGACAATAAAAACATTTAAGATTTGAGTAATTAACTAGAAACTATCTGTGAAACATAAACAGCCCTCAAGTCTGCGTCACTCTGGGACAAACTGTTCGAATAATTCAGGCAAAATCCACAAAGAAAGCAAGAAAATATAAAGTCTTGTCAAAATAAAATGGTCTCAAAATCACCCTGGAGACCAAAACAATTCCAGCTGCTCCGTTCTTCAGGGGTCGTGAACTCACACGAAGGCTTGGTTGCACCGGATGCTCTTCCGGACCCAACCACCGCGCTACCACAGCCCTCTGTGTGGAACAGAGAGCTGCCATCTAGGGCCCCCAGGGGAGCAGATGGTGGGGGTTAAGAGCCTTGCTCAAGGGCTCAGAGTTGGACAAATGGGAGTGGAGGCAGACGTGGGTGCTTCACCTTTCCCACCCACATTTTGATGTCTGTATGGGGAGTTAAACCGACGACCTTCACTAACCTCTGCGCCACCACTCCCCCTATAGTTGAACATTAGAAAAATACAGTTAAAATGTTTATTCTGTGGAAGCATATTTAAATTAAAGAGTAATGGTCCAAGCACCCAACCCTGAGGAACGCCATGACTAAATCTGGAGCAGGAAGAAGATAAAATCAACTGTATATGAAAGGAGTGAAGTTAAAAGCACTTCTTTACTTTCAGTGAGTAGAACAGCAACTTTGTGAACCCGTTTATGTTTCAGAAGAGACACATTTGATCTGAGGAGCCATTTTGGTGGAACCACTTTAAGTTTTAAAATCAATTTTTTTATTCTCCAGATCCAAGTTAAAGATTGTGTCTGGCATTTTGGCTTGAAGCTTTGTTGCAGTTAAGAAGTTGTTCCACCATTAATGTCAAGATCATTTGGGGAAGTCGATCGTCTGGACAACAATCCCCGACACTTCTTTTAATTTTTGTTTAAAGCAGCATCACGACCGCAGACGCAGCAGGAAAGAAAGATCAGACGAGTTAGCGCCTGATTAAATATTAATTTTGGCTATTTTGGCAGACGGGACTCTTAACGAGGAGGGGGAAACAAAGCGGCGAAGAGATGAAAGAATGTCATGTGATGCAACGGATGGGACAAGTAAAGGCTTTTAAGAGACAACAGCGAGCTCAGTCCCTCAAACAAAGTGATGAAGAGGAGCAAAAAGAGACACGAAGAAAAATAACGAACTCGACAAAAACACCGATTCTATGTTTACTATATTATTTTTATTAAAGCAGCAAACGAAATAAACAAATACCAGCAATGGCAAAATATTGTGTACGTGCACAGAACGCTGTACTTTAAGGCAGACAGAGAGAAACTCGTGACAATGATGAGAAACAAAAAAAAAACTGACCAGAAAAGATGAAATAATTTTTACGAGCTCCTCGTTCACCAAAAACCTGTAACATCATAACGAGCAGAACAAAGACGGCAATGAACTGTTTTCAAATAACTTTCTGCGCTTTTGTGAAATTTCTGTTTTATCAAAGTTTCTAATAAACGACAACGACCGTACAGGGTTTAATTTTTTTGTCACGTTTATCAACTTCAAACTAAAAGAATAAAACGTATAGAAGTCGTACAAAACTGATCTAAAATAAACATTTTCTGCAGAACAGCGGTTTACTGTAACTTGGTGACTCATGTATTAATTGAATTTCAACAAAGTTCAAAGGTACTCGCTGCAAAGTGTGAAATCAAACGAACGGCTCAGACGGTGCCACGACTTCACTCCAGTAGGTTTTCAAATGGACTGAACGTGATTCTGGATTGTGGGTCCACACTCAACGTAAACAGAGCCCTCAGCTAACCTGCCCAAGCTTCATCACATGATAGAATAGGCTGGCTGTAATCTGTGGACGTAAACAAATATGGCCAAGTCACTTTGGCCGTTTCTGTAAGGAAACCAGTGGTTCCCAACCATGGTCCTTGAGGAACACCATCCTGCATGTTTTGGTGGTTTTCCTGCTCCAACACACCTGATTTGAATGAACGGGTGATGAACAGGCTTCTGCACAACTTGAGGACATAATTAAATTATTGAATTAGGTGTTGGAGGTAAATAACAAATTTAGCTAAAAAAATATTTTAAAGGACACATTAACACTCAATGTATGAAAAATATCCTTTGGATTTTGTTTCTTTAGATGTTTTTTTAATCTGATCTTTATAACTTTGCACAGAGTACCTTCAAGTTATGTTTTCAGGAATATATTTTTTCTTCTTTTCACGGTTGAAGTTTTGCAGAAACCGTTTAAGAATGTGCAGCTACGGGCCCCCTCTTTACATTTTACAGCAGACGACAAACACAAAGTTCACAGCAGGAACGTTTCTCTTGTTCTCCAGTGATTCGGACTCATCATCTGAAGCGCAGCTCGCTCCAGCAGCAGGATGAAGACTCGGAGCGTGCATCGAATTAACAACAATAAAGCTACAGCATTTTCAGTATTTACCCTTTTTCTGTGGCGTCACTAAAGCAAAGAAGCGACCAGTGTTGACTTTGTGATCACAGAAACAAAACACCCACACAAACACAGTGCATTCAGAGTGAACATGAAGGAAGAATCCCTTCAGCTCTGCTTGTAAGACTAAACTAATTTGTGCTCATGACTCATATTATAAACCGTAAAGAAGCTTAAACCTGTTCATTGCAGCTTTCTAATATCAGCTGAAGGGTTTCCCCTCAGACACATTAACAGCAGTTTATCATCAGCTGTCATTATTTTACACCCCTGAGGAGTCTCATGACCTGAGCAGCTCATTTTTACTCCAACACAACAAAACCCATGTACAAAATAAAAACATACGCATGGTCCCTTATATCGTTTTGTGCTGGATCAGATCATTCGTGATGCTCTGAGGAATGTTAGAAGTAAAGTCGGAGCAGACCCGGGTCGACACCAGCGGTCCCGATTCGTTTTAGGGAGGTTTCCGTGTGTCGAGTCAAAAGAATAAATCTAGAAATAAAACCCAGATCTATAAATCCCGGGTCTTTTTTCAGCTTTCTTAGAAAAAAGAACAGATCAAGGACGCACAGAGACAAACATTAAATCAACAGCAAGGACACCGGTGGTTAACAGAAGGCAAAACTCCAGGAAACTATTTCCGTTAAAACAATTTGGTACATTCAGCCTCCATAAACTCCAAATTATAAAAACATTCAAATCTGCATCTTTAAAGGCCAGTTCTGATAAAACTCTGCACCTATTATTAAAAGAATCATAATCAGATGTAAAAGGAATCACAAGGAGAACTAAAATACCCTCTAATTCAACAAGGCAGTACTTTACCACGAATAAAAACTTTCTAATACACTATAAAGATGTGAATAAATCTATGTCAACTTCTAGAACTCCTCCTGAAGGCTCTGAATAAAAGAGTTTGTATAAACATCTGAATTTAAGAGTTTAGTAATTGTGCTGTCAAAAACTATGTACACGGTTGTAAAAGTACCCCACGCCCTGATGTACTGTGTGCTACAAATCACGTTTCAAGTACTGGGAACTTTAAATAAGAGTTCTTTGATGAAGAGTAGTTGTTTTTTTTTTTAACAGAGGATCATTTGTGATCCCTCAGATTCATGTTTAGACCCACAGGAAGGGAAACCGTTTCGAAACGATCACATTGACCGAAACATTTTTAGACGTTCTGTAAAGAAAAACCTGTGGTTTAGGAGATCGGTTTCAGTCGGACCCAAAATATCTGGTTAGAGACTTTAATATAATCCTAAAGAACCATGAAAACATCCTGCTCAGCTGCCATTTCAGAAGTATCTTCGTGCAGAAAACTTTTCTCTGATCATCAAGTATAACTTCAGCCACCGAGGAGCTCCAAAACAAAAGACAGTCACAACTACAAATAACATTTATCGTTCTTCTTTCTAAATATGTCAACAGTTCTGAAATATTTATGAAAAAATATTTACTTTTCTGAAAAGCGCGGAATAAAAAAACGTGTAGAAAGTATTTGGTAATGAGGCGCGACGCTGTGGTCATATCATGACGGGTTTCCTATGAGCTGCAACACCACCCAGCAGAGTGAAGTAAAAACATGTAACGTGGAAATAAACACGCTGTGCGCGGGATCAGGAGGAAAAACACAAACTGTGCAGGTTCCGCTGCTCAAACACTAAATCTGATGGTAAAAACCTGATCTCACGGTTTTAAAACCTTTAAAAGTGGCGTGCAGACGCAGAAATCCTCTTTAAATTGTCCTTTAATGGGCAATTTATAAACGCAACTTAAAGAGATTTGGGCTAACTTTAGTCTTTTTTTTTTTTACTATCACATCATTTTACCATTTTAACTATTTAAATATGCCTGAATGAACGATGCTCGGTCCGTTTTATGTTTCTTTTTATCAATGAGCCTTGTTTGAAAAGTTCTGTGCAGCTTCCTCTTTCTGCCACGAGGAGAAGCAAACTAATTATTTGTACCTTCTGCCTTTCGTGCATCGTGTTTGTTCACTGGGAAAGATTTTGCTGTTGTTGGTTTTCACAGTCTGAAGAAGGAACACTGAAATATTTAGCAGCCTCACATTTTTTCCAGCAGTGAAGAACAAGCAAAAAAAGTACCTGAAAACTAAACTTAAAATAAAAACCTGAAGGGTCCGGTGGTTTGAGAAAGGTTTCTGTGGTTCAAAAGGAATTTGCAGCGGTTGATATAAAATTTAAAACGTCTTCAGACGCCTTTTCTTTTATGATGGCTGAACACTGGAAGAGCGCAGATCGTTTTGAAACGGACCTCGGTTCTGTCAGACGAGGTTTGTCTCACGTCAAGCTCCACATCCAAAGTGAGAATCGTTCCACGTCTTCATTTTCCAAACGTCTCGTCCAACGTTTTGTCCAGGCGTCGGGAGGAGACGAGCACAGAAAACAAGATGGATCCTGTTCTGCTAGCAGCGCTGCAGGTCCGTCTCAGAAGTTCTGCTGCAGCCGCTTCTTGGCCTCGATGGCGTCGAGGATGGGCTGCCGCTTGGCCTGGTAGCGCTGATGGATCTCCTCGATCTCCTGCTCCATCTGAGGGTCCAGAGAGGCGAGTCGGAGCCGCAGCTCGTCCACCGACCACGTGCTCACCTACAAGAAGACAAAATATTCTCTGTTGGTTTATCGGCATCAACCGTCACCGTTCATCTAAAAATCTACATACAGCTTGTTCTAGTTGAACATCCTGAAATCTAAAAGCATTTTGATTTTACCATCATATATAATAAAGTCTGAACGTTTCCTACAGTGAAACACTGGTTCTTAAAAACAAATTATGCTTTGAAAGAACCAGATAAAATGTTGGGTGACGTAGCATTTGTCAAGTCAAAAGCACAGAAGAAAAGAGACGCAGCTGATAACAGATTCCGTTTCACCAAGTTGCTTTCTCGATGGTTTCTTCAGCGTGTGGTTACCAATAAAAATGCAAAGTTCTTGGTTTAAGCCCAAGAATTATATTTCAAAACCTTAAAACGGTCGGCGTCACCTTAAATTGAGCTCTAAGTATCTGCAGCTGCTTTGAACAAGTGTTTCTGAAGCAGATCAGCCTCTATAGAAATACACAGCCTGGACAAAAAAATATAAATCACCACCTGGATTTAACTAAACAAACGGGTACGAGCTCCTATTGGATAATTACTGCATGGGCGATTATCTTTCAGCTGGCAACAATTCATTCAACCACAACTGGTGCAACGAGTTGCTTCTCAGTTCTTAAACGACCATGTTGAAAGACGCATCGCGTGGTCGTGGAAAAGATGTCGGTCTGTTTGAGAAGGGTCAAATCATCGGCATCAAGCAGAGAAAACATCTAAGGAGATTGAAGAAACTGATAAAATTGGGTTAAGAACTGTCCAACGCGTTGTTAAAAACTGGAAGGAGAGTGGGGACCCATCGTCTTCGAGGAAGAAATGTGTACAAGCATGCGGGGGCAGTGCTATGATGTGGGGTTGCTGCAGTTGGTCAGGTCCAGGATCAGCAACAGCATGTGCTCAAAGAGTGAGGTCGGCTGACAACCTGCATATACTGAATGACCAGGTTCTTCCATCAGTGGAGTTATTATTCCCCGATGGCACGGGCATGTTCCAAGATGACGATGCCAGGAGTCATGGGGCTCGATTTGTGACAGAGTGGTTCTGGGAGCACGAGACATCATTGATGGATTGGTCACAGAGTCCAGAGCTTAACCCCACTGAGAGTCTTTGGGATGTGTTGGAGAAGGCTTTGCGCAGTTTTCAGAATCTGCCATCTTCAATGCAAGATCTTGGTGAAAAATTAATGCAACGCTGGATGGAAATAGATCTTGTGACATTGCAGAAGCTTATTGAAACAATGCAGCAGCGAATGCGTGCCGTAATCAAAGCTAAAGGCGAAATACTATATATTTCCAACGAAATATTAGTGTGACCTTTTCTTTGGTGGCGACTTGTTTTTTGACCAGGCAGTGTACTCTGGAACTGAAGTACTTGTTCGCATGGAGCTAAAGATCCTCCACTTCCAATTCTGTTAATGAACACAATTCTCCCAACAATCTGTAAAGATCTCGCGCGTGACTGCAGTAACCAAGACGTCCGATCAGTGGCGTCGATCTCAGAGCATCGACACGTGCTCACGGTGCCGCTCTGTTGTAGGTCGGGGATCGGGACCTGGGGCTCGCTTTAGCTTTTCCCTGGAGCTTTTCCCATCTTAGCTGTTCCCAGCAGCACAAGATATTTATTATCCACAATCAATACAGCTAAAATAACAGAAGGTCCTGAAACCGGATCACACCAGGAAACATGAATAAACTGTCACCAAGTGACAAAAGTGCTCAACATTTCCTCAAGTTACATTTTCAACTGTGAATATTTGTGTGATCGCTGAGTCAGCACTGACACTACTGCTTTTATTTTTAAATTCCATTTATGAAAAGATTCAGCTCAATCAGTAAAACTGCAAATTACTACCTTTGATGGTTTATGAATTATTTAACTTTATTTACAAGAGTTCCCCATAAAAATACAGACGTCTTCAGTTCCTTTAAAATCATTTTTTTAAATTATGCCTTTTAGCTATTCCATTCCCAATTTTAGCTTGTAACTACCATTTTGCCTTTTAGTTACTGTTTGCTACATTTCAGCTACTGTTTTGGAAATAATTCTTTTCTGCATGTTTTAACAAACAGTCCAGTTTCATCTTATTCAACCGTTTTCAGCCGTTCGTTCACTGCCTTTATGCAGAAAAGACTCATTTCAATTTAAAAACGTTGATGAAACATGTAACGCTCCGAGTTCATTAGTCGCTGACCAGTTTCAACCTTTATCTTAATCTTCTGTTACAAATCGCTGCAGAACACCGTGGTCTCTGAGGTTTGTTTCACTGTCAGATACGAGCAGCAGGAAACAAAGGGCGGCAGTGTGTGGGGGGGGGGGGGGGAAGCAGGATGGAAAAGGAAACAAATGCAAAGAGTGAAGCATAAAAATAGATGGAGAGAGCATGTGGAGAAATGTAGAGGACAGAATGAAGCAGGAAACTGCTTCCTCTACCGCTGCTTCTCATGAATTATTGAGGTCTGTGCACTCAAATCACATGTTATGTGCTGCATTGTCACACCAACTAACCTGACTAAACTACAACCAGAAAAATGGTAAATCAGATAAACGGACAGAAAACATAATAAGCCTACTGTACAATGAAAAACTGACCATTCTTAATATAAAAATGTGTATGAATATATAATTTACAGTGCATGTATGACAGAGTAAAATACTCAGAAACACGTTACTCTGCTCAAATAAACCTTGAAAAGTGAAAGTCTAAGTAAACTACAAAGTAGAGTCGTCTCGTGTTTGTACATTAAAACTGAGCTGCCAGCAAAGCAGACATATCTAAAATTAAACAAGGTCAGCATGAAGCTGTCAACAAACTGCTTTAACGGATTACACATCCCAAAAGAAACATGGTTTTTATCCCTGCATTTGTATTTGTAATTCTAATGGAGCAAGAAATGTGACAGTAGGATTTATGTTGTCAGCTAAAGCCCGTCTGATCGCTCTGTAACGGACTGATCCTGTTAACGGTGCTGGAAAAGTTCACATGCAGCGACTGTTATTAGTTTATTTTATCCTCTGGTTTTGATAAACTAACTTTTAATAACCATCTGTGTCAGTGAAGTGATCTTCTTCCAAAGGGTGTGTTGTGTGTGACGACTGTAAAGATGCTGTGCATTGAAATCACAAGGAATGGATGAAAATCTGGGTCAAGCAGCAGCTATCTGCCATCGTCTGTTAGGGAAACAACTTTAAATCCACATCAGCAGCGATCTAAGCTGTAATCTGAGTAGATCCTTGCGCTCGTGCCGTTTGTACCGCGTTTGGCCCAGCGTGGGGGAAACGCTGCGCTACCTCCATAGACGTAGCGCGCCGCTAGCTTAGTGCTACGTCAGTGCCAGCAGTTGTCGACCGGGGGTGCGGAGGGGGTCGGTAGGCAGGACGCTCGGTTCTGTCGACAGGGCGGGGCGCCCTGCTTGTATGATGGAAGGAGAAACACTGAGCAGAGTAGACACCTGCCAACAAACTATTATACAGCAGCGCAGCAATCAATAGCAATGGTCACACGCAATGACCTTTTATAACATTTGACCTTGATTTGAGACCTTGAGGCAGTGGTGATGAAAAATCTATGCAAGACTCAATGAAAACACATATCATGTTTAATTAAATTACCTTGAGCAGACCAGAAGTCATGGGCCAGACAAACAGACCTTGTAAAACCCTTTGATCTTGATTCATGACCTTGAACTTAAAGCTGCAGTGATGAAAAGCGTAAGTGACATTCCATCTATGATGATGCATTTGTGTGTCAAGTTTCATAAAATTATCTTAAGCGAATCAGAAATTACGGCCAGGACAAGCAATTTAAATACCTTGGTTTAGCTTTGACCTCTATTTGTGACCTTGACCTTGAAGCAGGGGTGAAGAAGTGTATGTGATGCCTCGTCTAGTTATGATGAATAATGTAATTAAATTATCTTGAGCAGATCAGAAGTTATAGGCTAGACAAGACCTTGTTTTAATATTGATCTTGATTCATGACCTTGAACTTAAAGCTGAAGTGATGAAAAGTGTGACATTCCATCTATGATGATGCATTTGTGTGTCAAGTTTCATAAAATTATCTTAAGCGAATCAGAAATTACGGTCAGGAAAAGCAATTTAAATACCTTGTTTTAATATTGATCTTGATTCGTGACCTTAACCTTGAAGCTGAGGTGAAAAGTCTACGCAACACACTGCCTCGTGATGAAGCATGTGTGTATCGAGTTTCATTATATTGAGCGGATCATAATTTATGGACGGGACAAGAGAAAGTTTACGGACGTACGGAGATTATACCATAACACGTCCTGCCTTAAACGGGGTTATAAAAAATATTAGTCAATAGTAATATTTGTGTTTTTTGATGAAACACACAAACTGCTGTAGAATTATACAGCTGCAAAACGTAACAAACAACATATATGGGATGGGAGACTGCGACAAAACGAAGACTTAACGCAATCTGCTGGCTACGCGACACTATGCTAACCTACGTTAGACAAATAATGTTACTAAGTGAATTTTTATGTTTATGAATGTTTCTGTTCATTGCCCTGAAATAACTTCTGTTGTGACTTGGTGATGAAAATTTAAGATAAGTCTTGATCTGTTGTCTAATCGTTGAATATGTTCGTTCACGCTCGGCAGAACAGGGTGCTGAGGTTTTGTGTTGTTTTCCACCAACAGAAGTGTAACGTACGTTTGTGGTTTTATTCACTTTGTTCTGTTCGGTCATTAACGGCTGTTGTACGAAATAAACTATTAGATGGTACTACATGGATAAATTATAAAAGGCAAGTATTTGATAATCTTACTTTCATCATTTAAGTTACAACATGAACATCAACTGCTACATTGCAACAATTAGCACTATCTATTGTTTTAATTAAAGTTGTTTTGAACACAAACATTTACGTATCAAAGAGCGTTGAAGAGGAGAAACGAGGATAGAAATCTGGAGAAGGTCTAAAGGTCAAAAGGCAGCTGTGTGATGCGATGACACAAACCATCTCCTATTTAAAAAGGTCACACGTTAAATATTTAATTCCAGCAGCAGCTGTTCTTCCTGTGCAAACGTGTCAGAGCAACAAACACCACCTGCGTTTTTACTGCAATAAAACTTGTGAGTGGCTCTAAAACACAGTGACACTCAAATATGTAATAATAAAATTCAGTCTTAATTAGATTACAGCGAACTTCTGAAGGAATGTGAGATTAAAGTACTGCCGAACTTTAATGGCTCATCCGAGTACAGTGGACACAACTCACGGATACAAGAATAGTTTGACCAAAATAGGTCAAAACACTCAAATTCGAAAGGTTAAATTGCAATTATAATAAATATATTTGATTAATATTTTTCTCTGAGCGTTACAGAGCCATTTAGATCTTTATATTGATAAAAATGTATAATTTTGTAGTGGTCAAAAAAAATTGCTCTGGTTTCTTCCACAACGGTTTTCCATTGACTTGCTGTGTTTTTTTAAAGTAAAGGGAGATCTGCAACAAGCTGGCGACCAGCATCATGAGGGCGTCTCTGGAATGACTTCATGTTTGTTTCCTCCTGAGTCGCAGAGGCGTGCAGCCCTTCCGCTTACATTTTGAGCGCATTTAAAAAATAAAAAAAACTGTGCAACAAATTTTCTTTCAAAATAGTCATTGCAGGTGCGTCCAATCTGTATCGAGACTACGAAAGCTTGTCGTACTAAAAGAAAATGTTTGAAGCAAAGTAACAACTACTGATCCCAATCTGGTCCAAACCTGCTCATCTTCATTTCAACAGTGGAAGATTAAATCACAAATGAGGTGAACAACAAAATAATGTCTACGGCCAAGAAAGCAAGGTTTTGCACACAAAAATGCATCTCAATGGCTTGCTGGTGTAGTGAACACGTGGGTACGTGCCACTAGTTGTAGTATGACAATATATGAGATATATATTGATACAATATTCACGAGTTCCTCATCTTTCTGACTGTGTAATGTCGTGCATTGAATTTAACAGAAATGTAACGAGAGACGTCATTTATCTTTGACCCATCAAAATGCATGCGGTCATTTATTTTCAGAATCAAAGTTTAACATCAAACATTTACATTAATTTGGCAAAATATGAAAATAATAACAGACAAGTTTCACAGAAAATGAGCATCGATCACTCGGCGGTGAACGAGGACTTTGCTTCAGATATTTCTAAAATATCTGTACTGATTTTATGAGAAAGAGGAGAGTTTTAAGATGACATGGAGATTTATCTTACAGAGAACTATGTGAGGGAATTAATCTGTTTGACCAGAACGTGCACGCTTCATCAGATCTCAGCTCGTCTCCGGTACACTTTAGTCGAAGAAGAGACCGTTACCTGGTAGATGATAGATCAGCTCGATAGAGAATCCTCCAGACCTTTCAGCGTCTCCGTTGAGAGCGGCTGAAATCCTTAGATAGTCGTGTGTGGTTTGTTCAAACAGAAGTTATAATTCCAAAACGTCTCTGGACCATCTTGAATGCGTTTGCACCCAAGAATACTGAACTCCTTTCATACTTCAGAACTTTTCAGACTCTTAATTGTCAGCAACTCTGTACTCTCGAATCCTCTGGAATTCTTCTGAATTCTCTTCCCTTCTCAATTCTAACATGAACTGGGAAGTTGCCACATTTAAAATGGGTCGACTTCCGGTTCATTTGAGAGCTTTTGATTGGTCGATGGACCAGAAAGAGGTGTGTTTTTGTGATGTAAGATGTTATCATAAGTCAAGGATTGTTTTCAACATACAGAAAAGATTATTGCAGACGATCAGACTTCGTGGAGTCTCACGCTGTTGTATCTTCTCAAATAGTAAAACATGACATTTCTTTTTCAGTAAACATTTAGTTGACCGAAACTTCAACTTTCACATACTTACATTACTTGGCTCATTTCAGACAGAGAATCAAGAAATGCATATTAACCTGATTTCTTCTTTGAATGAGGAATAAAAATCATTACTTACTGTTTATGTAAAATAAAAATGAGTAGTTCTCTTCAACCTGTAAGCATTGAATGGAACTAACACAATTTGATTATCAAACATTTGTAAAACAGTAAATGATTATAGAGAATTGTCTTTTCTGCTTGATTAATTCAAGAAAGAAAGTCACCAGATGGCTCAGACTGTATTCAGATCAATGAAAATAACAGTCTCTGTCCATCTGATAGATTTGAGGTCATCAGGGTCAGATCAGGGTCAGATCAGGGTCAGATCAGGTTCACTACACTGGTCACTTCGTCACAAACTTAGAGTTCAGGGAGACCGCAACAGAAAATGAGTTAATTTTCTTGCAGTTCTGAGTCAAGACTCCCAACAGTCGCAGCTCAATAAGACACCACGTTAACTCTACTGCAGAGAACACTGAATGGGTCAAAATCCTCAAAAACAATTCAGTAAGTTTGTTTTTTTAAGCCAAAAGAAGCAAAAAACAACTTTGTGACCAAAGGTTTGCGTTTATGTGTGGCCAGATGTCACTAAAACACCATTTTAATGGGATTAAGATGTTTATATTTCTACATAAAGCTGAATAAAATTGGCATTTTCAGAAACTTATCTACATGGAAGTCTTATTCAGTGTATAGCAGGGTCAACTGCAATACACTCGCATCTTCCTCACTGCTTTCTCCTCCGTCATCATCATCTAAACCATATATGGGCATAAAAGCCAGTAGGGCTGATCAAATGTGTTATTAGAATAAATTAATGTACTGTACTTGAAATATATTATGATCTATAATTGATTAGACCATGCTGATATTGAACTCATTGACATTGTGATGTCTGTCACATGCTGCCCATGTGAGGAACATTCAAACAAACTACAGCCTTAATTAATAGTAAAGGCAAGATCAAAGCTTGGAGCTAGTCTGGCAATAAAAACACAAGTAAGGCCCCGTGTGACATGACTGGACTTCAAGAAGTTTTTGAAGAACAAAGAAACTGAACTTCATGTTCCACTTCCCATCTGAGGAGCTTTTCCAACTCAAAACTGGGATGTCAAGCTCCTGGCTTTAAACTGCATCCATTTATCTGAGCTAAATTCATGTGCAGATTAATTTTATCCCCCTCCCTCCTGAGGGTCATTAGAGTCTTTATTTCAGATATTTGGTCACATGCATGAAACATGGATGTTACAAGTTGTTGGTTTCACAGTAACTTTAGAAAGAAGAGCTTCAGCAGGTGTATAAGTACACTGTACTCTTCTTTATAAAACCTGCTAATGACCACGAGACTAAAAATGCATGGGGGGGGGGTGTTAGCATAATTTTTGCGTTAGGTGTTACTGCAGTGTTGCCCACATCTGTGAAGAGTTACAATAAACAATTATAGATTTGTTCCTCGGTAGTTTGCAGACTCCCACGGTGCCTTGAACTCACCACTTCAAGATCTCCTTCAGGAGGGAGTTTGCGGTTGTCAGCGTTGTTTTCTCCTCTGCGTCCTCCATCGTTATGGTTGTTTGCCTCCTTCTCTTTCTGCTCAAAGTATTCCAGGAAGGACGGCTTGGGTGGCTGCATCGTCTCGTCTCTCCCTGTGTAAGACGACCAGAGTATTACCCGACAGCTGAAGGTGAACAGAAATGTGGAACCATTTGAGGCAGCGGTTTTTTAAAAAAAGGAACATTTTGGATTCTTTCAGAAAACCATCAGAGTTTTATTGACGTTTTAGGAAACTCTTGAACGTTTAAGACCTGAAAGGGCTAAAGCACAAATACATTTGTAATGCAAAGTTCTGTCGATACAAAACAAACATTTTGGCTTTAACAGCAGGATTGTACTCACTTGTTGTATGAAAACCTGAATAGTTGTGTAGTATTCAAAAACTGTGTGTGTGTGTGAAACAGTCAGCGGGTGTGTCAGTATCCGTTTGTTTGCATGGGAATTACTGTCGCATCTTTCAACTCCACCAGTGGAGCGGAAGTGTAGTTCAGGGTTGGATTCATGACTTTAATAAGCCACGGTGTTACTGAGGCAAAACCCCCACAGCACGCACAAATCACCGCGGGAACACAACCGCTCTGAACGGTGAGAACCTGGGCACCACGTCTGCTGCTAAGTCACATTTTTAACTTGTGCGTACAGTTGTACAATAATCACAGGTTTACTGATATTCTCAGGCCTTTTGGCATCATATTACTACCCAAATGGATGGGGAGGGAATTTTACGTGACACCAAAAGGAAACTAGTGTTAGTTTATGAGCGTACTTAGATTTATGGCTAACAACGCGGGTGCAGAAATGAAAGTCTGATCATTTGGATGCCACAATTTTAAATGTTAATGACTGAAGACTTGTGTAGATCATGATCCAGAATGATGTTCAGCTTACACATTTTAACAGTTTTGATGATGCCTTCAGGTGTTTTAGTGATTTTATTACAAGTTATGAAAATTATTCTATGATACGTTTTAGAATTACAAAATCAAAGGAGCCAATATGTTGTACTTGCTGATGATTCATAGAAATTACATTTACCAATCTTTGGTATAAACTAAAAAGTATTTTAAACACACCTCAGTCGAGTCTTATTTAAATTCACAGCAAAACGATATCTAAAAAAGTTCAATCTGGTCCTCTGGACAATCAAAAAAACTAAAAACAAAAAAATTGAAGAAATGTTTCGTCTCTCATCCGAAAGACTTCTTCAGCCTGAGGTGCTGTATTCAGCTCAGTCTTATAAATAGCACCTTCTCAGAGTGGATCAACCAGTTTGCTGCTCACATGATCAAGAAGGACCATCGGCCTAATGATGGATCGTTAGCACCCTGATGGTTGTTTACTGGACTGTCTCTTCAGCTCTCAAAATGGCGGATGCTCGGTGTGGTTTGAGCTCTTCAGCGTAGCATTTTTCACACAAAGCTTTTAATAAAAAAAAATTAAAAATAAGTAAACAAGTTCTCTGCTTCTTTTGGCAGAAAAAACTTTTTATACAAAGGCACGGGTTTCAACTGTGTAATGAGAGACACCGACAGATGGATTTAGCTCAAGGGTGCTCTCTTACATTTTATAATATCTGGACTAATTCAAGTACATAATATTATACTTAATTTAAACGGATTCTTTCATTTTTCTGGACTAAGTAATATTGTGCCTAGAAGATTAAATGTGGACAAAGACGTGTTTAAATTTCTGACCCACCAACAACAGTGCGGTCTTTTATTTATCAAAACGATTTAAACACATCACACATTTTACACATTGATTGGCATAATTGATTACAATAACACAGCTTAATTAATGAGCTTTACAATGAGAAATCATACGGGCATGATTCCTCACTTGCAGCTTGAAACAACAGACATATCCTTAGATCTTAAATTAATGTCTGCAGGCTTTTAGCTTATCTTTACTGGCAGGGAAATATAGAGATGGAGTAAACTTTAAGAAGGAAAAGTGGATACTTAGGGTTAACTAAGATAATAAAGAAAAGATGGGGAGTTATCTTATTTGAAACCAGATAGCACGTTTCCCGGTGATTTCAGCTAGATGGTACCCGAGCGTCGACTCTTTACCTTGGTGGGGTTTCAGAGAGGCCTTCTCCTGAAGTCCAGCAAGGCTGAGTCTTTTTATCTCCAGGGATTTGTATCCGCTTCTCATCAACTTGGGACCACGAGGCTGACTGGCCCAGCTTCCAAAATAAACTCCCCCGAAAGATAGGATTAAGTTAAGTGGAATTTCAGCAAACGTGCTGAACTCCTGAGATGTTGAATAGGTCTTTGGCGTGATGACCTGAACCAACGCTCCAGACAGGTGTCATCTTTCAGAAAATGACCACCGTGGACTTCACCCTTGCAAAGTCACACTGTCTTCCTTCTCAGCAGAACTCTCTGTTCTGAACTTTTGGAACTTCTGTTCTCTCTGGAACTAGGAAGTGTCGACTTTTAAAGAGTTCTGCTTCCGGTCCCTTTTGGGAAGTCCTGATTGGTTGAAAGAACCAACAGGGGTGTGGTTTTAGTGACGTCAGAGGGTCATTACAAGTCAGAAAAACAGCGGAGATGTTTAGGAACAGACAGAGAAATGTTTTGGAGAAATGACAGACTTACAGGTGCCAGTTTTCTTGTTTCTGTCTGAGAGGTTTAAAAACATGAGAGTTCGTTCCAATAACTTGCTTCGGACTGTCTCCGACTTTTGACCGACATCACTCTCATTTCAGACAGAAGATCAAAAATGCATAATTACTTTGTAACATAGACATTTAACTTGATTTCTACTTTGAATGAGGATTAAAAAAATCATTAATGCTGTTTCACAGTTGATTTAAAATGAGTGGTTCATTTCAACATTTAAAATGGTATGAACTAACACACTTTTGATTATCAAGATATTGTAAAATAGTAATGATAATATGAAAAAGAGAGTGTTCTTTCAATTGATTAGTTCAGGATACAATTAGAAAGTCTCTGGATGAGCTAATTTGTATTTCTGGATTCAAATCAATGAAATAACAGTTCCTGTCCCATGAAGGTCTTCAGAGGCAGGTTTTGACCGGAGGCCGAGTTCACTACAACTGTGAATTTTGGAGTTTCGACAAGACGGAAGTTTTTTACCAAGGTCGGCCTGTTAGCTTAGCTCGTAGCTTAGCTACTTTTAACAATCCAAAAACGTGATTTTGGATTGTTAAAACAGATTTTTAAGAGAAAAGAGAAAGGGAGGTGTCAGTGAAGAGCACTGGAGTTGAGCCTTTTGTCATCCAGTGTCTTCAGTAGAAAGAGAGAGTCATGAAGAAACGATAAAGCCGATAAATGAAATTGAGGTCGATAATTTTCATTTTTCGTGCGATTAATTGATTTATTGTTTATCACGACAGGCCTGGACATGTGAAGCCATTTAGTTTTATCTCAGGTATGTGGTCCAGATCTTACTACTATAGAGAAGAGTACTCACGATGCATGCATTAGAGACTGCAGTTTTGGTTTTAATAGTGAGAACTGAGTTATTCCACACGATTGTTGCTAGTTTGGCCACTGGTAGTTTTTCATTTCTGAGCTCACTCTGTAGTGGGACTGATGGTTGAGTATACGTAAGTGAATTCAAGATGTATAAAGTTCGTCGTTGTCAATTGTTATGTGGAATCAATTTCAGATGCTTGTGTCAATATATTTGTTTTCTTTAGGCCAATGGTTTGATTAAATTCTTGGCAAGCATGGGCAAAGCATGCCATGACGTTCTGTAACTGTGTGCACGAATGGGAGAAGACAGCAGCAGCATCTGCACAAAGCAAGTCTAAATAGTAAGTTTTTTTTTAAAAATCCCTAAATATTTATATAAAAAATAATAATAATAATCTTTAGAAATGACAATACAGGAAGTCACTAAAGGTTTCTTTCCTAATTCAACTTACACCGACTTGAACCGTGTCAAGTTAAAGTCTGTACGCTGATGGTTATGAGAAGCAAAATTTTTATTTTTCCTTAAAAAAAATGAAAAATAGTGGCCAAGTTTTGCACAAACTAACAATTAACCAAAACATAGATAATCTCTGTCAATTCTCTGTAAACTATTTGCATCTAATGGTATTTATATTCTACATATTTCTCAGATGGTGTTGATTAATACCAGTTACTGCTGATCTGATGTGTAGACCTGAAGTTGTTTTGGGTACAGATTCAATCGAACGTCCAGCGCTCCTTTGAAAAGAATTGTGACCGTTCTCAGACACTGATCTGGGAAAGGTCATTATTTAAGGAAACTTCGTTTTCCCAATATGGAGACTTTCTCCTTCCACCCAAATGTAATCAGATAACAGAAGGTCAGACTCATAAAAATAAAATACCGATTGTCTCTTTATTTATACTTTTGTATCCAGTGTTGTTTGGTAACTTGAGCAATTATCTGACTGGTCACAAACTTTTTCCAACTATGCTTCACATCCCAATAAATTCTGACCTGCTGGGCTTTGTTGATTGCTATGGCAACACGGTGCGAAGGCAAGCCGGCCAGCGAGCAGCACTGAATGCGTCTTCTGTTTTTTTAAATGTTTACATGCATTATTTATTTATTTTTTTCAATCTAGTTTCTGTGAGGTGTTCTTGTAACTGATAATTCCATGTCACACTTGCAGGAAGATGATTCAGGGAAAGATGCCTAAAAGTTTTAAAGAAAGAAAATTCATCCTGCAAAATGTAGAAGTGACCGTTTCCTACTTAGAACTGCGTCTCGTTTGTTTGCAAGGAATAAACAACGTTTTCTTTCTATTTTAAACTAATCTGTTACATAACTAAACTAATGAAGTGTCATTTTCACTAACAAGCTTTGAACAAAAACAGAAGCTTAACAATCGTTAACAAATCTTTTGATTTTTCACTTTAAACGACAGCCTGAGATTACAGACAATATGAGACGCATCACGGGGACACCAACTGATCTGTTCGTCCAAATAGAGTTAAAACCTAAACTTTTATAAAGTATAGTTTAAATGTTTAAAACGTCCACTGTGCATGCTTTGAGCTGAAATACCCTTTTTTGTATCTCCTGTGAAAAAGATTTATTAAAACACAAACTAAATAAATTGGCAGGAATCATAAAAAACTGA